GCTGTGTACCTACAGAGAGAAAACCCTGGATATCTACAGCTAAGAAATTTCTGAGCTAAAAATATTCCAAAATCTCCAACAGTGAATATCTTTTTAGCAGGACACTTTGAAGCTGAATATTCATCTCTAGCTGAAAGCATATCTGATGGTCCAAAGAACGGTAAGTCTCTGACCCACTACTGCCCAGGCTGCAACAGTTTTTTTTAAGCAGCTTAAAATATTGGCAAGAGCTCCCCTTACTGGTCTGCTTTCAAACTATCAGCTCTTCCGTCCTGAAAATCTTTTATATGAAACAAAGATGGGTAAAATATTACCTATATTCCACATTTCAGAAAAAAACAAAAAACAAAAAAAAAAAAAAAAAAAAAAAAAAAAAAAAAAACAAAAAAAAAACAAACAAAAACCCAGGTCCACATCAAATTTATATCAGATATCCTATTGTTCACATTTCTGACTAGCTGCTAGGTCATAAACCCAAAGATAATGACTTAGTTTAGGAAAAAATTACTCTTCCATCACTGTGAACTTCAACTTATTTTGAATCCTTGATTTTGTACAGCACATATAGGCCTTGCCACAGCTGAAATTACAAAACACCCAATTCTAACATACTGAGTAATGCACTTATTTCACAGTAACCACCACCAGCTTCAATGGGATCATTTGTATTTCTCACTGACAATCAAGGAGTCAGCGTGGAAATTTATATGGCATTTGGAACTGCAAAAAAAAAAATATTATGAAAGCTTTGTTTTCTTCAATGGCCTACTGTTTGATTTTAAGAGCAAAATATACCTCTCAGACTGTGTTGGTTTATATGATTAAAGAGTGGTTAAGATACATATAGAGATATATGTATGTATACACATTTATATATGATTTTTAGTGCCCTACTCTTGTAAGGTCAGCCTAAGGGTGAAGAAGCCAACTAAGAAAGGTTAAATACAAGTAATTTTTATGAAATACCATTATCTTTAATTCACAGTAAACAATCTTGTTTACTTCATCCCACAGTAAACAATCCTGTTAATGCATAAAATACATGTTCTCTGGATTGTTCTCACACACATGAGGTGGCCCTGCAGAGCTGAGTGAGAAAAAACTGTAAAATCTGTTGTTTTGGCACATTAGGAAAAAAAAATAGAGGGAATCAGAGGATATGCTTTTGAATGTAGCCTGTAAACCTGGAAAGACTGTAAAACAGGATTTCTTAATGTATAACAGCACTTGGAGGAGGTTTAGTACAGCATATCAGACAGCCATCTAGCTCTCACCACTAAGTAACAAAAAACAAAAATCAAAAATATATTTTCATTATAATTACATTAAACAAATAAACAAACCCACTACTATTCTAATGGATTCAGATGCCTACATTTTCTGTGAAACACAGGCAGTTTAGCTGCAGAAGCAAATCTACTCAGCCTAGTTCTCTCAGGTAAAATGGAAGAATTTCCTAAAGCATTCTCTATTTTCTTTCAACAGCAATCTCTATTTTCTTTCTTGAGGACACATCCATTCTCTCTAGTGATTGTTGGTTATTTCCTCCTTTACTGTACTGGACAATTATTCCTCCTGGACTAGTTCTTGTACCAGAGAGAAGGAAGAGGGACTCAGGTATTGATCACAAGTGAACCAAGTCATTACAGCCCCATCTACACTGACCAACCAGGGTCATACTCATTGTGCTGCCAGCCCCCTGCTAAAACAATCCCCTCTCCAGAATTAGCTTATTCCACAATTTATAAGACTATCTAAATATGTGACAGCTTTTAGACTTACTTACTTTTTACACAACTTTCTTCAAAGGCCGTTAATAAACAATTTTTTTAAAATTTTGAGGTTTCAAACAAAAAAACCAAAATGTCCAATAGTATAATCTTCAATAAAAATGAAATGTTATTGCTTTATTTCACTAGGAAGCTGCATTTTCAGTTTCTATCCCTCTCTTCCCACATAACACGTTGTTTGATTTATTCAAATTCTCTTACCTTGCTTTAGAGAGCTGTCTCACCCTTCTATTAATACAACTCTTTAGCTTCTACATGTGTTAATGAAAAAAGAATTTATGAGCAGGTTCAAGTTACAATAACTATACAAGAACAACTGTTTACATCACAAAATGCTAACAAGTGAACTTGCAATCTTATAATAATAATAATAATAATAATAATAATAATCTTATTTAGATCTAAGTATAAGTAAGTAGCAAGTAATAAAGGAAGTTCAAGTAAGTCTCTTTTATGTAATTCTACTACCATGCTCTTCTTCCAGTACACAAAATACTTTCAACTCAAATTGAAAGCAAAAAGTGAGCAGTGAAAGCCCTTCAAGATAAAATTTGGTGCTTCTACAAGCAGCAACAAGTCTGTCATTCAAGCTCTATTTTGGCTGCTCAAACAGGACCTGAGAACACTGTAATTCTTTGATAGATACTAGCAAAAAAGTGAACATATTAGTTATGGATACAAACATTAAATTAACATACAATATTCCAAATTCAGTGAAGGCTATTTTCTCACCCTATCAACTCTATTACCAAAGCATGGATATATTTAAACAGGACTCCTACAGCTCTTATTCTCAAATGTTTCCAGCCTTTAAAAAATGTATTTTAACACCGTGTTTCATTCCAAGCTGTACTCACCAAGAATATTTCACACCTGAATGAACACCAGCACAAAGTTTAAAATCTGTAAGTGCAAATGCTGATTATCTCAAAATGTATAGATATTTTTAACACTAGTATCTACTTTTCTCCCATCTGGGCAAATATTTTTGTTGTTGTTGAAGCATGTAAGTTCTAGGATTACATGCATTTAAAAACAATCAAAACGTTTCAGAGGTCCAAGTTTATTCAAATCACAGAATCCCTTCCTTGGGTTTTTTGCTTGTTTGCTTTTTAAAATCATACACAAACTCAATTTCTAAAGTTTCCTCATTGGATTTCCTTCACCATACTACCTGATTCAAGATCCTTTTTCCTCTAGGAACTACAGTGAACTCAGCTCCTTAGACTACACGTGATGATATCAACTTACATCTTTACATCTTTTGTTTATTCTTCCAGCACCGGATTGGTTATGCCTTGTTAGGGTACAGGAAGGATCAAAAGTATTGACAGGTTTAGAAGTTAAAGGTCCATTAACTTGTTTGCTCAAAAAAACCAAATTTTGAGCAGAGAGTATAAGAATGCATGTCCAACTGTTTAGTTTATACAGTTTGGAACTTCTATCCCTCTGTATCGCATAAGTCATGCATCAATTGTAAATATAAGCTAAAATACAGGGAAAACAGCAGCAAAGCTGTACAGTTAACCAGGAGAAAAAGACAAGAACTGCAAGAAGTTTATTACAGACTGAAAAGGAAAGTCACAATAGAAATGGAGCACTAGACATGTGAAATACAGAGAAGCTCAACATGTGGAATTCCAAACATGACTTTTCAAATGCTGTAATTTGAAGAGAGTGATGGATGATTTACCTTTCAGCAGAATTTGGATGGAAAATAAAACAGGATTCCAAAGAAAGGAAACAGACACTTCTAAATAAATTGTACTAAGTTATAATGCCATGTTAAAACTACTGATTATTTCTCCATTAAATGAGCACCCAATCTTCCAAAAAAATAACAGTTATGAGGTCAATATTTGATCGGTCTCTTGAGATCAATCTCAAGAAAGAGGCAAGAAACCATAAACCATTTATAAATAAGATTTAAACTTCTTATTTCAGACATGTAGACGGTTCTTTCTTTTCAGACATGTAGCTGGTTCTTAATCTACATGACCAGGGAAGCATCCACTAGTGAAAGAAAGAGATGAAACAATTTGGACCCAAACTCATTGTTCTATACAGTCAGAGAAAAGGGAAGGTATCAGAAATGTCATGAAGTTAAATTTTACAGGGCTAATTGCTCATCCACATGAGCCTGACTATACACAATTTTACAGAACTTTCTTTGGACAGCTTTTTGATTAAAAACATCTAGTGAAACTTTCTGCTGAAGATTCCTTCTTCCCGAAGAAAAAAAAAAAAGCAAACCAAAAAACCAAACTGAACAAAGACCAAGGACAAACCTACCAATTAATCTGATATCTACTGGACAAGAGAAAACAAGCAGTAGTGGGAGAGTCAGTAAGAAAAACTGTTCCTTATAAAAGCTCTTCTCTTTACATTTTTTCTCAAAGACAAAATGGTGGCATCTATCTGATGTACACGAATAGGTCTGAAAACCAAGCCAGTGTCTGAGCTAAAGTTACAAATACAGCGTAAAAAAAACCCCAAACAACCAAACCATGACACTATAAAGCTTTTTTCTTTGCAGCAAAAGGCAACATGGGAAAAAGAACTAAGCGGAAGGAAAAAAACCCATAACCAAAAATCCAAAGCCAGCTTTCTTGTTTAGGTAGAGCATGGGAGTCTGATCACATAACTTATTTGACTATCAGTTCCAGTGAAAAAATACAAGCAATTATATCTATAGGACTGGTCTCCCATTTCTGTCACCCCTTTAATTTATGATGGTCTAGGGCAAGAGATTTTGTTGTCCCATTCCCTCCATATCCCTCCTTCCTCTCCAAACTCCCACCACCTCTCCCCAAACTCAGAACAACTCAGTAAGCACAGCCTTGGTAAAAGCAGGCAAGTAGTATGGGGCATTTGTAACATGTTTTAACAAAAAAACCCCAACCAACACAACAAAACACTCAGACCAACTCTCATCCTGCTGTATAAAACCCATCAACCCATCTGACCATGCCTCCAGCTTAGAGATGTTCCATCAAGCACAGATTCAATAGATATTCTTTACTTTCTATCAGTCACACTATAATCAGATTCAACAACACACAAGAACACAACATGTCAGAAGACTTCATACAGCACTCCAATACAGAAACACTACTCTATTTTTTGGGTCATATCATCTTGCAAGATAAAAACCTAAAGGAAAACCAGAGAGCATGCATCAAAAATTCTCAAGGGAACTCCTCAAGTGTATAATTTTAAGACTTTTAATAAAGATAACACATTCTTTCAAAATGAGAAACAAAATCCAATTCCAGACTGTTTTGTCTATGAAAATGATGCATTTTCTATAGTAGCCACTTCTATGTAGAACTTACATGCCACACTGTTATCTATTAAAACAGTAACAACCCAAACTACTGAAATTCACTGTTCCAAAACTTGCAGTAATCTCATTTCTCTGGTTTTTCTCACTTCTGAGTAATAGGAAATGAGTTCTGGTCCATTAACTCGCCCACTCTCTCCTGGAGGAAGTTGACCAGCTCAGCTAATACAAAGACATGAGTTTCATCCAGGTCTTGTATGATGAACTTCTTTCCCAAAGCATTCGACTCATCCAAGTAGAGCAGAAACTGCTTCATTGCAGGGTCACTGTAGAGACAAACACAGGTCAGACCCCACCTCACAGTTACAGTTGCAAACAGAAGAAACACCATCCAAAGACTTTCCCAAAGGGTTTAAGAAAACTAAAATGAATTTTCACAACTTAAATACAGGTTGTGAAGCTTTAGTAAAAGTCAATTCTTTCCAAGTAGTTTTGGTTACTATAGAGACAAAAATAAAATGGTAATAAAGTCTAATGAGTAGAACCAGCTGCTTGATTAGCAGATAAGTTTCTGTTTGCTGCTGTTAAAGCAGCTTCAAAAACACCCAAACCAAAACTAAAACTCAAAAGTCCAACCCTTAATAAGGCAAGACTGAACTTACATTCCTGATTTCAGCAATAGCCTCATAAAAATATGTTTCCTTAAAGCACCATGATAACCAAAAAAGAGGAGAACACAGATCTCACTCAAAGTACTATAGCACAGACAAAGAGTGCCCATATAAGAATACTACATTTCTCACACTCTAACTGAACAGTCACAATGTCACCTTCTAAATAAAATTTAAATGTTTAAAAGAAAACATTTTGGAAGTACAGAACTGCTTTGTGCAGTTATAGGTTGCAAACATATTAAGAGATTAAATGTACAGCAGAAATCTCACACATCATATAATGCTATACAATGACCCCACAAATCTTGAGTGATGCTTCCTTTAATTTTGGAGGTAGCCAGGGACTTGAGTCTCAGTCCAGAGGTGAGATTATATGAAAATAGGTACATTGCACCTACACCAAAAGCTGGCATTTACCAACTCCAAGCACATTCCTTTCGAATATGATCTACAAACAGCACCACATGTTAGTCTTGCACTGATTCAGTCTAGAGCTGATTAAATAAAAACAAAACAGGAACGGAGAAATGAAAGATTACCTCATCTCCCTCAAGAATCAGTAGAGAAACACTTTGTTCACAAACAACAACAGCAAGAAACTCTGTTTGCAAGCAATACAAAGAACAAGAGGGAGCATCTAATATTTTCAAGGAAAAATGGCCAGGATAACTGGATCACTTGTACTAGGGTAAGTCTACCTGACAAGCATACAGGTAACTTACATATACAGCTAAAATTTTAACTTGTGTACCTTTCAAAATATGTCACAATATTAGGGGACCATCACACATGGTAGAATATAGCTTTGAAACATAATTTCTCATAGTTAATGCTTATTTTAGGTATTTTACATAATTTTCTCTTCTAAATTAAAATAATCTGCAGACTGTTATATATTTTTTTTAAAAAATGGATTTTTGTAACCATGTGACTGCTAACTTTTTTGCCATCATATTTTTTAACCCCATATTCATGTGCAGTTTTCTTTTCTTAGAGGTTAGGCATAAGTGGAAAACAGTCTCTTGAACAGAAAAACGGGAGTTTGGCATTAGGATTATCTACAATTGCCTTTTCCTTCTTCCTCCAAAGGCTGCACTTGTCTCTGCTTGTTCAGCACCACCTTTCCCACAATAATTCCTTTTGTCTGGGCTCTTCAGTTACTTCACTCAGTTCCAGGTCTAAAGAAACACAGCCTTTGACATGAGGAGAGGCAGTAAATGCTGTTACTCACCACTCAACCAGAACACCTTTCAGAACATTCACCATCTTCCCGGCTCCCTTACGAACACTGAAGAGTCGGCAAGAGCAACTCCTTCTAAAGAAACACAGCCTTTGACTTGACGAGGAGAGGCAGTAAATGCTGTTACTCACCACTCAACCAGAACACCTTTCAGAACATTCACCATCTTCCCGGCTCCCTTACGAACACTGAAGAGTCGGCAAGAGCAACTCCTGCTCTGGAACACACTGTGAAAAACAGAGTTCACTCTTTAGAATTTTTAGAGCTTTAATAAAGGATAAAAGGACAAATTTCCAGTGCTGGGGTGCTTTTGGCAAATGGCAAAAGAGCACAGAGGTAGCCTAAAATCATGTTCTCAATATATAGTTACATTGCTGGGGTTACATGCATATTCATTACTTTATACATTATTGAAACATTCCTTTGAGATTTTGATGTTTCTCTTGTTTGGTTTTAACCTCTGACTTGTCTGCAGGACATTCTGTAGGTTAGGTCCATATATTTTATTTCTTTCTGTAGTACTATCCTGTTGTTTCACACTTGCTTACAGCAAAGAATTGATAAATCCTTCCCGGATGCTTATGCTCTGTTTTCTGTCACTGTTATCACTTGCAGTCCACAGATGCAAGAAATAAAATAATTGCTTTACACTATTCTCTGAGTTAGCTACATGGAAGCATTTTAGTCTCTATTTTAACAGTTTGCTAAAGCTTTGCTAAAGTGTGATACATTTATCACGCTATTCACATTTATATGAGCTATACAGTGAATACATAAACAGGTTATAGTATACAAAAGCAGTTAAAGCAAGTATAAATTGTACTGTATCAAAATACTTGCGATGCAAAAAGCTAATCTATAAATACGAAAGCCAATGTTATATTATCATCTATAACAGCACTGGCGATCACAGGAAATCTGAAAGCACAACACGCCCCACACACCCCCAACACACAAACCCAAACAAACAACGCCTCGGTTAAACTCAGAGGCTCTTTACGACAACCCTACTCCCCCCAGGGGAGTTGCTGGCCCGTCGTGCCCGTCACCTCCGCTATGGTCAGAGGAGTTCCCAAGGGATCCGAACCCGCCTTGCACAGAGGGGTTCCCCAAACCTCGGCTCCGGCCCCTCACGCCCGCCGCGTCCCTGCCGGCGGAAGTGCTTCCCCTTCGCCTGCGCATGCGCGCGCGCCACCGGCCCCCGGCAGCGCCCGCGGATTGGCCGGGGCTCCCGGCGGCGCGATGGCGTCACGCGGCGCGCGGGGGCCGCCGCTGGGAGCTCGGCGCAGGCGGAAGGTGGGAGCGGCGGCCTGGGCGGGGGGCGCGGGGATGGCGGGCGGCGCTGGACGGGCGGGCTGGGTCAGGGTAGCGCAGTGCGCTGCTTCTCCCCGTTGGAAAGAGGCACAGAGCCACCCCAGCCTGGCTCCTTGCCCGTTTACGTGTTGCATCGCTTAAAGTTGGGCTTGCGGTGGTGTTTTTGTCTTTTTTTCCAGTGCGCCCCAGCTGCGCAGTCGCGGGGCGGGTAGGTGGGGACCGCACCCCGGTGCGGGACGGGGCTCGGAGCTGCCTGGGCCAGCTGTGGAGCGGTGCGAAATGGGTCCTTTTGCGTTATGTTTGTATGTGCCTAAGCACGAAAAGCTGAGCGTGAGCCGGCAGTGCGCGCTCGCAGCCCCGAGAGCAACCGGCTGGAGCGGGCGGCGCGTCCAGGGCGGCGATTGTGCCCCCTCCTCCGCCCTGGTGAGGCCTCACCTGGGCTGCCCAACATCACAAGGACACGGAGCTGCTAGAGCAAGGCTGGAGATGGGCCACGGAGTTGCTAAGAGGGCTGGAGCGCTTCCCCTGTGAAAGCAGGGCGAGGAAGTTTGGGCGGCTCAGCCTAGAGATGAGAAGGTTGCGTGGAGACCCCAGGGCAGCCTTCCCTGTCTGGAGGGTCCTGCAGGGAAGTCAGAGAGGGACACTTAATCAGGAAGAAGGAGTAATGGGTGCAAATGAAAAGGGGAGACGTTTAGATTAGCTATTTTGAAAGAAATTCTTGAGTGTGCAGGTGGTGAGACACTGAAACAGATTTCTCAGGAAGGTTGTGGATGCCCCAACCTTGGAAGTGTTCAAGGCCAGGCTGGAAAAGGCCGTGATCAACATGGTCTGGTGGGAGTTCCCCTGCCCATGGCAGGGGTGTTGGGATTAGGTGATCTTTAAGGTCCATTCCAGACCCTTAACGTTTGATGATTTGATGCTTGCCCTCGGACCTGAACAGGAGCTCCTGGCAACAGAGGAGCGGTGCTCACTTCGTCCTCCTTCGTGTTTGCAGGTGCATGTTTTAAATTTTAGTAATTGTGGCACTTGCTGTCACTGAACAACATGTTTATTTCAGACTGTGGTTAGAGAGAGGAGTAAATGTGAGTACTGTGACTCTGTGAGTAAAGGTGGTAAGGAGCTGTCATGAGATGGGGTTTGGAGGCAGGAGAGGTGTCTCTAGAGGACTGGTGATCAAAGTCTTAAAAGTGTTTCACAGTGTGGTGTACTCTGTTGAAGTGAAATGATAAACAATGTTGAAATGACAGAAGTCAAAAAGCAGTCTGCAGTGATTTTGACAGTGCTGGGGTAATGCTGTTGTTTTTCAAAAATCTCCCAAACACAAGCAAGAGAGAAGAGAAAAATCAAAACTTTTGGGGAAATAAGAAAAGAGGGAAGACATGTTAAAAGAAGGACACAAAAAGAGTCCCCTTGTTCAGAGCTGTTGGACACTGACGATAAAAGTGATATAAACACTTTGCTTGGTCTGCAGAGATTACCTTAAATTCAAGGAGACTATCAGGCTTCCATATTTCAACATCAGGTTTACACATGTGATATTTTATCGTTTTGGGTTAATTGTGATTACGGTAACAGAGATCTAATTTGACAAGAATTCGATTTGTATGTGGGAGATACCGGTGTGTTTTTCATCACTATAGACACATTAACTCAATATTTCAGTTAGTACAATTGCACCAATGCAGACACTAAAATTTCACTTAGAAGATAGGAGTTTCATGTTACTTCTGCACTGTATGCAAAAAGTGTTAGTTTTGGGTTTTTTTTTTTTAATGTAGTAGTTCCTTAAGTCTTGTTAGTCAAAATAAAAGACTTACTTGCCAACACAATAAATTATGAACTTTTAAAAGGGGTTGGTTACTGAGTTGTATTAATGCCTGTGTCATACTGGGTAATGTCTTGATGGAGATAGGACCATATCTGGTATTTAGGGAAGAGTGACTAAGAAGTAGGAAAGGAAACCTAGACACAGAGAAGTTAATTGGAGATACGTAGTCACTAAAATCAACAGTAACATAATTGATTAAAAACTGCTTTAAACTTTTCTTATAATTGAAATTCAGCCCATTATTTAGCCCATAAATTGAGAAATTTATAGAGTTCTTTAATTGGAGTGCTTTTTATGGAGCAAAATGACATAAACATGGTTTATTGTGACCTTTACCATCATGACCTTTGCTGTAAAAAGACAGGAAAAAAATGCTACAGGATTTCTGCTGTAATTCTCAAATCAATCATTACTTTTTTTCTTTCCCCCTCAATATGCAGAATGTCAGTGGCTGCTTACTGTGTATTTTGCTACAGAAAAATAGGAACTTCTGGTCCAGCCACAAAAAAACAACTACCCTGGAATGATATCAGTAAGTACCATTCATTATGTATTGATCTGAAGTGTTAATAAAAAGGAATGACATGACACCATGCATAATTAAAAGCTACTGAAGTTTTAAGCCCTCGAATGCTTAGTGATTAAAAGCTCCTGTTTGTCCCTGCTCTCTGCTTCTGACCTTGCTTTGCGTAGTGATGTGTAATATGACCCCAGCAGATTATCTGGTACAAACACTAGATGAGGGTCTTTCCCTAACTAAATGTGATCTCCTTAAACTATCTTCAATTCCACTAGTATCTGATTTTTTTTTTTGTAATCTCTAGAGCCATTCTTTATTCACTGTTTACATTCATAAACAGTGACTAAAGCTTGTTTCTATTCTTTCTTTTCCTTATTTACGTCAAGCTCAGGTAAGTCTCTGTTTTCTTTGGTGTCTTCAACATATAATGACAATTCTTATAATTCTGAAATTTATTTCTGGGCATTAAAGATAGGATATTTCAATTTCTGCTGTACAGGAAGCATTGCATTTTTTTCTTTCTCAAACTTCTCTGCCAGTTATTTCTTCAACATGTAGCTGCTGCCTCTTGTCTGCATGCAAAATTCTTACGGCCTCACAAAGATGGAAGCTGGTAGCAGTGGTTGTGGGGCAAATCTCCCAATTCATGCTGAGGAAAAGAAATTATTCATGATAGGTGAGATGTGTTACATTGGGTTTGCTGCTGCTGGTAATGATTAGAGTTTCTCTGTATAGAGATCCTTATATACAGATAATCAGATCAACTTTGTAGCTACAAAGTAGCTGAAATCTGGAAGGAATAATTTTGTTTAAAAGGCAAATTGTTGCAAGTAGCATGTATTTATTATCTGTTTGCTTTATAAATTAGGTTCAATTGAACTATTTTTTTTTTAAATATAATTCAATTGAATCAGTATTTGCTCATGGAGACTCTGCAGGACTTTTCAAAAAAACATGCATAGTCCTATATGTAATAATATACACTGAAGAAATAGCTGCAACATTTAAGAAAAAGTTAACTCCTTAAAATTATTTGGAGTTCCAAATCACTGCTAATGTTACAGGCAGAGAAAGTTAACTGTTGATTCTGGTAGCTGAGCAGTGCATGCAATTGAGAGGTAGCAATATTCAAAGTAAATAGCACTGGCAGGATACATGTTTTATCATCTTGCTTAGGAGAGCAGGAAATCTGAATCAAGTAATGTTTTCTCCAGTTGTAAATTTTGGTTAATAATTTCTTGAAAGCTAGAGAACAATGGACATTTTTTTTAAAGCTTTTTCTTAATGGTTGGTATTCCTACTGTCTGATAATCAAATGGTAGCTGTGTTTATATTGAGGTGATGCACACGACTTTGTTTGACATTTGGTTTTGATTTTTTCAAGGAAAAATTGCAAAGGTAACTGGATCACTTATACTAGGGTAAGTTGTAACTAATGAGCATATATGTAACTTGTGGATACAGTTAAAATTTTAATATGTGTATCTTTCAAAAGATGTGATAATATTAGGGGACATTAGACATGGTAGAATATAGTCTTGAAGCACAGTTTCTGATAGTTAAAGTTTTTTCAAGTATTTTATAGCCTTTTCTCTACTTTGCTAAATTAAAATAATCTACAGACTATTATTTATTTTGTAAATTCTCTATGATTTATGCCAATGCGATTGCTATATTTTTATTGTGTTGTTGTAGTTGATATTCATATGCAGCTTTTTTTTTTTCTTTAAAGAGGCTTTGTATTCATTACATATGAAGTCCTGTCCTTAAATAAGTTACTGCAAATCGATACTCAAGCTCTACATCAAGAAAAACTTAAATCCTATGTATATGTACGTACAGCTTCTCTAAGTCCAAGTGAATATCAAGGTAAGATGCATAATTGTTTGAGTTCTGAAAACAGAATTCTAATAGAATACAATGTTTCTGGAAATCATCCTTATATAACAAGTAAAGTTTATTTCCTTAAGTCTGTTACCAAGAGATGTCACCAAATTTATTTTAAGCTGCTGACTGGTTTGGGTTTTTTTTTTTTTTTGAGATAGTTCTTTCTATACATGGTTCTCTATATATCAAATAATTCTCTTTATACAGTGTCTATATGTATATGTGTGTGTATTTCTTTTTCCATATATCTGTGAAAAGTGAGATGAGAGAACTGTCTTTCAGACTTCCAGTAATATAAAAATACTCTTGTAGGGTTTACATACAAAGCCAGAAAAGAAATTCATAAAGCAGTGAGGAGAATTCTAGAAACAGAAGCTAAAATCTTCCGGAGACCTTTTAACGGTAGGTATCAAAAGCAGGACTTATCTATGATTTTTATTTTTTAATAGTAAGAAGTAGGGCAGTTAGGAAGTAAAACATTTTTTTCTTACAAAGTTAACACATTATTTTGTTCTTGAAACAGTGATAATATAGCTTACAATTTCTATATTTATATGGATTATCAGTCAGTCGTCTATTTTCTGTGTACTAAAACAATTTATTTTCTTAAAGTAAATGAAACTGATGGTTAAGAGGAGATTTGAGGGTTGTTTTTTTCCTTGTTCTAGAAGATATTTAAAAGTTAAGATACCAAGTTAATATTTGATATCATTTTTATGTAAAAAAGGTGTTCGTGGGATGAAATACTCTCAAAGTCTCATTTTAGAAAAGTATGTATGCTTTCATCAAATTGACAGCATTAACCGAAAGCAGCACAGTTTTTTGGATCTTTGAATACTTTTTCAAATAATTTTGAACAAGAATTTCCATTTGTATCAGAAACTGTGCTCCTGAGGCATGCTGTCTATTCTCATTTAACTCTCTCTTAAATGATTATAGCAATGTGCATCTCCACTGTCATCTTATGAAATTAATTCTTCAAGGTCAGAACCTCAAGGGTTACTAATAACTTGCAGCTTCTGCTGGTAATTCTGGTTGGTAAGTGCCAGCCAGGGGTTGTGTGTGTTACGTAGATACATGAAATAACTACTTGGTGCCACTAAAATGAGACAAACTCACCATTTTAGGATCAGCATTTCACTGATGTCATTCTGTCCTTGTTCATTGTACTAATTTAAGGTTAAAATGTTACACTCTAAATTACTGTGAACAAGTAATACTCAAATATTAAAAAACAGCGTATTTCCATACTCCACAAATAGAAACATGGGTGGTTGAAATGCTCATTAATAATAACTTGGATTTCATTTGTTTCCTGGTCAAAGAACAATTCAGTACATTTGATGGAGAAGATCATGAGTGTGCCTTATGGCTTCTCTTAAAGAGAAGTCAGTCAGAAGACAAAGCGATCCGACTGCAGGCTGTGCAAGACCTGGCAAGCAACAGTCACTGGCATGGTAATGTATGCTGATGTAGCCTAATTTGTCCCAGAAATTCCACAGAGTCTCAGTTAGCTGTTCCAAGTTTGCAGATAACATGAAGAAAAGCTAGTAGGTGCAAGAAGCATAAATATGCTCTGAAACTTGGTCTAAAATGTGGGGGAATTATTTACATTTCAAGTAGCTGTTCTTTCCCAATACCCTGACACAGTGCAAGTGTTTGCAGTGCAGGCATCTCTCTGTTTCCCCACCAGAGGATTGTAACCATTGCTGTGGCATGGAGAGCAGTTCATGCTCTTTAGTTCCTTGGATTTTCTGTTGGGATTGCTAATGCAGTCACAAGTTTTGGCAGTGATTTATTTTTTTATAAGCCTCTGTAGGAGTGAGTTTAAGGCCCTTGGTTAAGTTAATAAAAATTGGTTAGGGGCTGATAGGTAGTAATGACAAACCAGAGGTAGAGGGCTTGTATGTACAAGCATTATCTGTAAGCCATTTTTTGTCCTAGTTATTATTTAATAAGTTCTCCCTCTTGCTCTGGCAGCAAATACCCTTGAAACCCCAAGTAAAGGGGAGGTGTGTGTATGTGTATTTGTGTTCCCTCCTCTCCCCTCCATCACCAGGCTACATCAACTAGGTGACATTCCATTTTGGACTCTCATTTTTGATAATTTAGTCAGTTGTGGCTCTCACTTTTCCAGTGCAATTCCACGCTGTGGGATTTATCTTGTTTCAAATTGCCTTTTTAAAATGCTAAATAATTTCCACAGGGAATTTACACCAGCAAAGTGTGTTTGAAAATGTTTGAAAGCTAGGATGTACCAAAACTGAGCTTTGTCCTTTGTAGATGAATGCTGTTAGCAGGTGATTTCAGACCACAAGATATCCAGTATCAGGAATTTAGTTGCCTTTTGTTATCTCTCTTTCTCTGTAGTGCTCATTGTTGTAGTATTTGGACATTTCACAAACACTGATTATTCTTGCCGACTGCCTCATGAGGGAAACAGGCTTTTTTTAAACCTGATGCTTCAAAACCAAGTCAAGAAAGTTTAGGACTGAAAGTATGTGCTGATTTTTCACAACTAGGACCAAAGTGTTCAGCTCCAGTGAGTTCAGTTTGCAGGTATAAATTGCCTCAACCAAAGGAAAAGTGTTGCCAATCTATGACTGTAAAAAGTATCTTTTAAATTGTTTGTCAGTTTTGTTCTAGAATTGTATAACAGTAACAGGAATAGAAGCAAATTTTTGTAGAAAAAAGTGTTGATCCACTTCAAGACTTTATTTTCTTTTCCTTCAGTTTGCCACTAAATCAAACTGGCCTATAATGAACAGTTAGTGTCCAGGTGTATTTCAGCTCAGTGTAGTGCTCGTCTAACATCTGCAGTTTTTAACTTTTGGAATTTGTGGTTAGAAAATCAAAGGGTTTTTCTAAGTAGACTGCAGAGAGATGGTTCTTCTTTTCAAGTATATTTACAAAGTAGATCACAAACTACATTTAAAACAAAATTAAGTATATAAGGGTAGTTTTAACTCTAACATTGAAATTCTTGTACAACAGATTATCAGTATGTCACAGTTGCTCAAACCTGTGATCAAAGGACTGCTATAGGTTTGGCTCGTTCCAAAGATGTTGACCTTCGTTTTTTCCTGCCTCCACCACCATTGCCAAAAATAAAGACTGTAAGTAAAGGAAGAGTAAGTATTAGATAATTCTTAGTTGCTTACTTCTTTTTTTTGTTGTTAACTTTTGTTGAAAGTGAAGTTCTTCTAAAGAAACTGACTAGTAGTAAAATACCAAAATACAAAACTGTAATATGTGATACACTTTTGGGGTATATCTTCATTAGGGAGTAGCATGATGGAAAGAAATAAGGTTGGAAGTATTGATCAATTATTATTCTTGGACTGTTATCCGCATGACATATTTACAAGCAGTGAAGTCTGAGCCAGTTACCAGTCTGACAGACACACTGGTTGTCTCTATCCAGTGGTCAATGTGAAGAAATCATCCTGGATTGCCTTGTTGGCACTGACAGAATCCTTCACACAGAGCATGCTCCTGGAGGCCTTTTGTCTCCTCAGCAGTACTGTGGTGCTCTGCTGTAGGCCCACCTCTTCACTGTCAGCTTTTGGGTGCCAGCAGATCCTTATTAAATAAATTTGGCCTTGCTTTTTTTTTTTTTTTTTTTTTTTTTAAAGTTAGTTTTAAGCTTAACACATTTTAAATGTGTGTGTATTTATTATATATATTATGGTCTGAGGACTCATGTCAGCAGCTTCTTCCATAAACAGAACTGGCATATGAAGTATAGTATTCAAGGTGTTTTGGACTGCTAATAGAATGAAGAGGGGCAGAAGGCCCTGTCAGAAAATACCTGTGTATCTTAACCAACAGAACTCTGAATATCAGCTTTGATTGGGTGTGGTATTCTCAGTCTTTGCTTTTTTGCCTTTGTAACATTATGTGATAGAGGATCTGTTCCAGTCAGTCCTTAAATACTAGGTTACACTGGTATGTGGTTATGGATATATTTTTACAGCAGTGTGATTGCTAGGTGATTGAAGCTAAGAGTTGCCAATCTGCTGCTTAGGAAGTTGAATCAAATCATTGTGGCAACTCTACCCAAGTAAGTCTCCATCTCTGATTTTATCAAAGAATTAGAATAACAGCAAGTTCAGTGATGGTGGGCAAATAAAATTACTTGGTTGGATCTATCAATCAATATATCAATATATCAATCAATATATCAATATATGTTAAATGAATACTTATATTAGTTTTTCAGACCAAACATTAAAAGAAATATGTTTTATTTTTTACTAATAATTTATACATTCATTTTAATGGAGCAGCACCAAAAGCACAGCATCACAAGTTGGTGGATGAGGAAGGTGATTGTCCCACTCTGCTCTGCACTGGTGTGGCCTCGCCTTGAGCACTGTGTGCAGTTTTGGGCACTACAGTATAAAAAGTATATTAGACTATTAGAGGAGTGTCCAAAGGAGGGCAAAGATGGTGGATGGCCTTGAGGGGAAACCACATGAGGAGTGGCTGAGGTCACTTGCTGTTCAGCCTGGAGGAGACTGAAGGGAGACCATTGCAGTCACAACTTCCTCGTGAGGGGAAGCTGAGAGGCAGACACTGATCTCTTCACTCTGGCAACCAGTGACAGCTCCTGGGGGAATGGCCTGAAGCTCTGTCAGGGGAGGTTTAGGTTGGATATCAGGAAAAGTTTTTCACCCAGAGGGTGGTTGAGCACTGGAACAGGCTCCCCAGGGAAGTGGTCGTGGCCCCAGGCCTGACAGAACTCAAGCAGCTTTTGGACAATGCTCTCAGGCACATGGTGTGATTCTTGGGATGGTCTTGTGCAGGACCATAAGTTGGACTTGTATGATGCTTGTGGGTCACTTGCAACTCTGAGTATTTTATGATTCTATGAGAATTTCTATGTAGTTAAGGGTGAACTTTTAAGTTTCCTCTGCCAAGGAGGAGCTGGTTTTTATTCTGCTCTTTGGAACAATTAGAATAATATCACCAAAATATGAAATGTAAAGCTTGCTTTTTATCATTTATTTGGTGGTTTTGTAATTATCAGTTTCCAAAGTCTTTACAGATAAAACTATTAAACTGAAGTTACAAAGTACTTAAGTCCGAGGTTCATATTTTATGGCCTCATTAGTATGGCTGATTCCATTATTTCAAATATTTCTCTCTTCTGCATTTCACTTCATGCTTTGAACAAAATAACCTAAAAGCTGTTCATGCTTACTTCTCACAGGACTATCCCATAGAAGATGAACTTCGCTTGTTGTTGGTATCTTTACCTCAGACTGGTCTTGATCCATGTGTCCAGTACTTCACATCTCTTGCATTACGTGAAAGTAGCCAGACTCTTGCTGCACAAAGGGTGAGTTTCCATCTGCAGAACAGAACTGTTTGGGCTCTTTGTTGCTGCAGAGCTCAAAGATACAAATCTTTTTCTATATTTTTATCATTGTAAGAGGATACAGAGAAATACATTGTAAGAGAAATACAGAACATGAGTAGAACATGAGCAAAATCTCTTGTAAATACAGTCTGTCTGCTTGAAAGCTTGTTTGTATTTCCCAGCTGTGCTAGTTGAAAGGTGTAGTTAAAGATTATATCTTACAAGCCTTCCCATTAAGCAGACATTGCAACACTCTGTCCAAAATATTCTTTCCCCTTGTAGTGCTCATAAAATGATTTTTCACATTTCATCTTACTGTTGTTTGAATGTTCTTATACTGATGAGATTATTAAACCTCACTTAAGTCTCTAGTAAAATGGCAGGTTGTTAGCACACCTTAAATAGTAAACTCTGTTACATCACATGGAAGTGCCTCTTTGAAATAGGTCCCTGTTACTAAACCAGAATTGCAGTAGTCTGTGGTTTGTTTGGACCTGGATCTAGGAATTCTCCAACTGTGTCTGTGCAACAACTTCTTAAGTGGCTTTAGGAATGTCATTTAAAGTGCCATTATTGTTTAAAAATAATATTTATGTCAGTTTCATCCACTCAGTCTTGTGAATTTAAAAGTTCTGACTTCCTTAATCAGTGATTGTTATTTTTTATAAGATGCAATAACAAAAATGAATGTCATTTTAATAACAATGCTTGTCAGTCTTGGTTTAGAGTTTCCAGAGTGCAATAACTCTTTATTTTCTATGGCAGAGTTATGTGTGCTATTTTTACACTATCACTGCTTTACTGTTTTCACAGCCAGAGCTCGTGCTACAAAGGGAGCTTTGGTAAGACATCACACTTGGAAGTATTTTGATTTTTATCAAGGTTATGTTGGTCTTTCTGCTGCGTGATTGAGAGACTGGTCTTCTGAGGCTGAGCCACATATTGAAGACCTTTCTTCCTCCTCTTCTAAGTTTTGCAAGTCTAGAGTTATGCTGATTCTTGCTTTTTTATGCTTAAGCAAATGATCTTAAAAGATGACATTCATTAACAAAATGAAAATACTAGATTTTTCCCCCTTTATTGTATGTTTTGAAGTTAATAGACTAAGGAAACTACACACTGAAAATCTAGTTAATATTTCCAGTTAAAAATAGTAAATACTTTTATGATGTACTGTTGTGTAATTTGTACATTTTGAGAAGTGCATGCATGCTGTGCACTCTTTAAAGCAATTTCTATAGATCATTACACACTTAACATTCTAGATTAGAAATTCTTTTTTATGTAGCCATTTGGAATGTGTTACTATTTTTATGTTTTTTCATTTCAGGGAGGCTTATGGTGTTTTGGAGGAAATGGACTTCCATATTGTGAGACATTGGGTAAAATCCCTTCAGAGACAGTGGAACTCTTTTGCTTGCAGGCTTTAGTACAGCATTCTAAGGTAATTTTTCTTTAAACTATAACTGAAAAGCTACATTTATGGACATTCCTCTCTAATGCACTCTCATGTATTGGGAAGGAGTTGCCATTTCCTTGTCTGCTACCCTGTTCTCCTTCTGTAAGAATGTTTAAACAAATGAGATGGGTGTGAAATGAACACATTCCTGTAACAAATTAGGGTTTTTTCTCATGAGGAAGTGCATGTAAGTTCTGTTGTTTCTAATTCACGCTTACAAATTCCCCTGTACTATGCCTGTATGTATCTTTGAAGAGGTAAAAGGGTGGCTCTGAGGATGTAATGCCAGGTTTTCACAAAGAGTGTAAGTTCTGTTGTTTCTAATTCAAATTCCTTACAAATTCCCCTGTACTGTGCCTGTATGTATCTTTGAAGAGGTAAAAGGGTGGCTCTGAGGATGTAATGCCAGGTTTTCACAAAGAAAAATAGTGTCATGAATTCACTCTAATCAGAAACCAAAACAGAATGCAAACCTTACCCATACACAAAGGTATTCTTTGGGCAGAATATTGCACAGCAAGCAGCTAATACAGTGACCTTCCCAGGACCAGTCTGCTTTTTGTAGACACAGATGAGGAGTATGGAAGACATTTTATGACAGTGTTGCTTCTTGTTTCCTATTGCTACATTCTTCTGTGTACACTTAATTGTTCAGAAGCCTAGAACGCTGAAAAACAGTGTTGAGAACATCAAATGGTTACTGATAGTTGGGATGGATGAAGTGCAGCTTCCTGGTATTCTTTTCACATCTTCCATATACATAGAAATTCTGATTTTGTCTGGAATTTGTTATATTCTAGATTTTCGGTTTAAGCAGGTTGTGACTGTACTCATTCCAAATGCCTGTTGAAAGCCACAGGCTTGAGGATATCAGCAGTTCCAAAGCTACGCTGCATATTCATCTGGACTATATTGTTTCTCTTAGGATCAGTAATGATAGCAGTACTATTTGGAATGTAAAACATCTTTTTTGTTTTGAAGAGAAGGAATTAAAATGATGGACATGTGGCTGTGGTTGAGATAGTGCTTTAGCAAATACAGACAATTGACCTGTTCAGACTCTCGAAATTGAGTTGAAATTTGATCGCCAAGTGGAGACCATTTCATCCCTCTCAGACATGAGGAAGGGTAGAGAGGTGGTACTTGGAGATTTTCAAGTTGTCAATTCATAGGAATTATGCATTTTGCATATTAAAACATCTATTTCCTCTTCAAATATAGCATAATAAATTCTAGATTAATATAATTTCCATGCAACAGGGGCTGTGTTATACCTGCTTCTTAAAACTTCCTAATTTATGAATTAACAGCATCTAAAAAACCTTTTGCAGAACATCTATTTATTGTCACTGTATTTACTTTGTAATGCCAGATTTCTTCTCACTGTGATAAAATTGAAGCTAAAGGAGGCCTCCAGCTACTGCAGAGGATATATCAGCTACGTAAAGATTCAGCCAAGATACAGAGGAACATAATCCGCATTATTGGGAACATGGCTTTGGATGAACGTCTTCACTCATCCATAGTACGTGCAGGTAAAAGGAAAGCTGTCTCAGTGGTAGATTTCTATTCTAGAAATTTCAGATAAAGAAATAAAATAAATAAATAGAAAATGTCAATATGCAGTTTTATAAATCCAAGCTGATGTCTGATATCAAATACAGTGTGCATTTGTACACAGAGGAGAAGTAGCAAAGGCACAGGAAAAGATGGTGAGGGTGATTAAAAATTTGCAGTGGCTGTGATATGAAGCACAAATAACTAGACTGAGACACTTAGCATGGAAAAAGCAACTGAAAGAGAATGTGATGGAGATTTGTAAAATTCTCTTCACTGGTAAAGAGGGAATGGTCATCTGCTGTTTGTTGTAATGCCAGACCAAAGGTTCTTGCACATTAATTATAAAGAGACAGAACAAATAAATAGTGTTTTCCATATATTACATGACCAAAATAAAACTTGGCTACAAAACATTACGGTAGTTGAAGACTCACAAAGCTTCAAAGAGTGATGAGACACATTCATGAAATGAAAAATCCATAAAGTTCTACAAATGGAAACAAAGTTGACTGCAGAAGATCTGACAGTATAGACTAGAATCAGAGCTGTATAATTGTCCTTTTATTGCTCTGTTATATTGGTCTGCAGCTTCCCTACTGCTCACTTCTAAAGAAAGGCAACTGGACATAAAGGCCTTTGTCCTGGACTCTAACACCGTTCTTCAATTCTTATAATTGTTGAAACCATATATATAGAAGAGATTGATTCACTGTCTAAAATTCCTTTTGTACTGAGAGCTCTGTCCCAGGGAGCTGCTGACTCCTGTTTCAAACTCCAGAGATGAGCAGTCAGATACTGCTAGTCCAGAGTTGATAAAGCTTCTCTTTTATTGCTGGATGATGCATAAGAAGAAAGAACCTCTAAGGCTCTTGCTTTTGCAAAAACTGCTGGCATGGGAAGAAGAAAAATGTGTAGTGCATTACTGTGATGGGGTGTCTGGGGGCAGAACACTTATTTTTGATTCTGAACAGTTATTTTTGACTCTTCATCTTGACTCATTTAAGAGAAGTGCAAAACCAGAGACCAAGTTAGTTTTAGTCAGAATGTCTTGGCAGTCTTCCATTGTGTTTGGAGAACTGAAAGTAGACTTTAGATAGTATTCTTCTTAAGTACAACTTTCATAGTGGTCAGCATCAATTCTGCTTAGAAACATAGTTTAAATACATTATTCTTAAATAAAGATTACAGTCCTCAAAGGTCCTAGTAGTTTTGTTAGTTTAAGGCAAAACTCAAATGTCAATTTGCTCTTTTCCTCAGTCTACAGTAAATGATTTTGAATTAGCAGCTTCCTGGCTATACTAGTAGCAACATAATGTACATGGTTTTGAAACAATGCTCACGAAGTAAATTCCCAGGTTTTATTTATGGACTTGACTGTAATGTAACTTTGATTTATAGGCTGTTTTTGCTAGCAACAAGATTTATCAGGATTTTGAAGAAACCTGTGCATATACACATAAAAGATATTCCTTCACATTTCTCAGCATCTATGAAAATTCCCATCCATGTTTGAGAAAATTTTACACCTCAGTTAGAGTATCATAAAGTGTTTGTAAGTCATAGTATCTTTGACTTAAAATTTTATTGAGGATTGTATCCAATTTAATTGTCTTATGTTTCTAATGTGTAAACAGTATACAAATTTTAGAATGGAAAAGATATTTTAATCACATAGAGAGTTAGAGTTTTTCTTATGCTAGATTTTAAAATTAGAAATTATTGTACTTTCACAGCAAGCATCGATTTTTTTGCCTGCCATTGCTCCTGTAGGTTGTTTTCTCTGCCTTTCTTATGCTTTAAGCTTCATTGTCTCCATCTTTCTGGCATTTTACCTGCAAAAAGAGATTTGAGATCTGTCCTTGCTACAGCTGTACTGACTTGCTAATACACTTTCTTTTTCTTCTGAGAAGGATTTCTTCTTCAGATCATAAAATAAATGGTAGTAAAATATATCTGAATTTTTGAATTTAGGAGATTCCACTTACTTAGCCTTGACTTTCCTGAGATAAAGAGTAGATTGAAATAATTTATTTTGACGTTGCCATTCTTAAGTTTTAACATCTATTTTCAGATGTATGGTTTGATGGTTGGTGTTTCTGAATTCTGTTGTTCAGATGATACTTCTATTAGTTGACCTGCCTCTTCCTTTTCTCAATGTAGGTTGGGTTTCTGTACTTGCTGAAGTAATGAAATCCCCACACATCATTCAGTCTTCTCATGCATCCAGAGCTTTGGCTAATCTAGACAGGGACATGGTGAAAGAAAAATATCCAGATGGTGTTTATGTCTTGCATCCACAATATCGTAGCAGGTAAAGTAGAAGGAGTCATTGTACATGCTGGAGTTACTTGTTCTGTTCTGTTACAAAACTTTGGAAGAGCTGGCATCAGAGTGCTGCTGTACTGATGTTACCTCGCCTCTCCTGTTCTTTGGTGGGTTGAAAGGACTGAATTTAGATTCTCAAGTGGAAGAACAGTAAAAGTGGTTGGAGCAGTCCCTAGGTGTGGACAGAGTATTACTGTAATGTCTGGAAAATCTGAACACCAAACATGAAATTAATTACTGCTTTGTGTGGGTTGCAACTGTTTAACCTTTGCACTTTGACTTGGGATACAGTGCCTTGTAGTTATTCTACTGGCAACCGCACATGTTGGCCTAAGATGCAGTAAATTTGCATCCTCAGTAATAGTGATGGTGTGTCTGGGACTAAAGCAATCTCCAGCATGGGTGTCAGTAGCAACTATTCCCTGGGTCATTGGTGTTACTCTGCTTACAGTGAAGATCTAATGTGATGATAAGGCTGGAGCTACGAAGCCACAGGAACAGTAGCTGGCAGGAAAGGTGTTTTTCATTATAGAAAATTATGATTTGTGAGGTGTGTACTTTCCATACCTCATTTTATATCTTTCTTCTGTGTGCTTCCCTAGTTTTTGTTTTTGTCCGAGTATGCTCTTTGAAATATCATGAAATGTTGTCCGTAAGGTAAGAAGTCACATGTAATGTTAGAAAAAGCATTTTGGCATCCCTTAGGTTAAAAGTTCCAATTTGTTGAAAGAACACATACCACATATCTCAAAATTTCCTTTTGGTTGATCAGCCAGCCTGTCAGAGCAGACATCCTTTTCGTTCATGGTCTTTTGGGAGCAGCGTTTAAAACCTGGCGACAGCAGGACATTGACCGGCGTTTGGATAGAAAGGCCTCAGAAGGGGAAGAGGACTATACTCAGTGCTGGCCAAAGGTAAAGGACAGTAACATTTTCACATGTGGCTGCTGTTTGCTCATTCATTAGAGCTGTCCCGAGCATCTAGAAGGACACTGTCTGGCAGATGCCTTTTTTAATTCAATTACTTGTAGTTCGTTATACAAGTGGCAGTTTCAAGTTCCTGATGATAAATTTTTGTTAATGACTTGTTTGTTGTTCTTGCAAGGAAAAATCCCTGCCAAGTTTTATGTTCTCAACATCGTTCACATGCTAGTGAAAGAGGAAGCAATGGCTGCTTTCCTTATGCTCTTTCTTCTTTTTTTTTTTTTTCTTTTTTTAATGGAATGTTATTGCTGAGGAAGATTTATAGAATAACATTTTAAATTAAGTTCCCTTCCTTACCTAGGTGTCTGAGTACCTTACTTTGTGCAGATTGCTATTTAAGTATTGTTGGTCAATAAGTAATTACTGCTCCAAGCAAACTCTCACTGGTATAGCCACTAAAAGTGTCTCTGAAATTTGAACTGATCAGTCCTGTTGGTAATCTTAGTAACTCGTTGCACCCAGGAGAGGGAGCCAAGAATGCACGCGTTAGAGATGAATCTTTGTTCTTTGCCTGCTTTGTGGCTCAGAAACATCTAGAGTTCATCAGCATGTGATAAAAGAATGATAATCCAGGTGTAACATATATTTGGGGGTTAACTGAAGAGCAAAAGTATTTTTTGATATTGTCCCCATAGTAGCATCTTTTCTCCATTGCTTTCAAGAGTTTAAGTATATCGATTATAAGCTCCTTTGGTTTTGCTTTTCTTTAATTTAGACATGGCTTGCTTCAGACTGTCCTTCCCTTAGAATCATATCTGTGGAGTATGACACCCATTTGAGTGACTGGAAAGCAAAATGTCCTGTTGAGGCTCAAAGGTAAGAAATGCAGCATATGCAGTTTGGAGGAGAGGGCAGGACATAGACCTGTAAAGCTGATCCTTAGGATTACCTACTGTGAAAGAGAGTCAATTTAACTTTTCCTGATGCTTTGAAAAATCTAATTAGGAAAAATATTAAGTATAGTCATGGTATGCTGAAGTTTTTAGCCTCATGGATAGCCACATGTGGCAATTTCATTAATTCTTACAGTCTATTTTGCTTCATGTTAAGGGAGACACTAAATGATGCTATTAGTTATGAAATTACAACTTTGTCTTAAGGGGTGTCTTTTTTAAATGACACAATAATGCTTCATAAGCACAGTAAAAAAATCACTGTACTGTGGCTTTATACACCTGGTAAAATGAAGCATATATTTTCATAGAATCATCTAGGCTGGAAAAGACCCTTTAGATTATCAAGTACAATCATTAACCCAGCACTGCCAAGGCCACCACAAAACAATGTTCCTAAGTGCCACATCCACATGCCTTTTAAAAGCTTCAGGGAATGGGGACTCAACCACTTCCTGGGAAGACTGTTTCAGAGCATCACAACCCTTTGTTTGATGAAATTTTTCCTGATATCCAACCTAAACCTTCCCTGTTATCTCTTGTCCCTGTCACTGGTTCCCTGGGAGAAGAGGCCAGCTCCCACCCAGTTACACCCTCCTTTCAGGTGGTTGTAGAGAGTGATAAGGTCTTCCCTGGGCATCCTTTGCTCCAGGCCAATCAATCCAGTTCCCTCAGCCTCTCCTCACAGGACTTGTGCTCCAGACCCTTTACTGGCTCCATTGCCCTTCTCTGGAGCTGATGCAGAGCATCAATGTCTTTGTTGTAGTGAGAGGCCCAAAACTGAACACAGGACTTGAGGTACTGCCTCACCAATCCCTTCCCTAGTCCTGCTGGCCACACTATTTCTGATGCAAACATTCTGTTATATTAAAAGAATGTTACTTTGATGATTAAATACAATAACTGTATCTGATTCAATTAGAGTGTAATTGCCCTTGCCAGAGGAATGCTGTTTTTACTGACCTTGAACAGGGTAGGTCAGAGGAAGATGCTGCCACCAAACATGTTGAAAAATAAGAACACTTTGAACCTGTAAAGGTTTTTTGTCTTGAATAGAATTTGGTTATTAGGTTCAGTGATCTTTAAATCAGAATCCTTCAAACATTTGTGCAGATATTTCAGCATGTAACTGGTACTGCAAATTCAACTTGTGTACTGCAGCAGGGGCATGTGCATGGCTGCTTACAGGTTAAGAATCTGAAAATTAATAGTGGTTTTTGTGCAGGGAAGAAAAAAAATTCAACAGGTATAATAGACTGGGAACTTGGTACTTGTTCATTCCCTCCTCTCTCTGGCTATATGAAAGATCAATGCAATTATTGCATTAAGGAAAACATGTAAGCAGGGAGAAAATGAGGAACACATGGCTGTTAATGTGCCTATTTGAAATTAGGCAGAAAAATTACAGTAAGGAGCATGTAGGTGGTTACCTGTGCAGGTCCAAGAAGATTGGAATTGGCTTTAAATTGCAGCAGGGGAAGTTTAGATTGGGTATTAGGAAGAAATTCTTCACTAAAAGCATCGTCAAGCCCTGGAAGAGGTTGCCCAGGGAAGGGTTGAGTCCTGATCCTTGAAGATAATATAAAGACAGGCAGATAAGGCTCTTAGGGACATGGGTTTGTGGTGGACTTGGCTGTCCACCTTGGGCTAGCAGTTGGACTCCATGATCTTACAGGTCTTTTAAACGTAAATGATTCTATGATTCTAAGAAAACTCTTCTTGTGTCTGTCTGGAGTAAGCATGTTAAAAGAAATAAACATAGATTTCCTTTTTCTTTCCCAAAGGTAATATCTTTTTCATTATAATATGGAAAATTACATTACCAGCTATTTATGGTCACCCAACCATAATATTTGATAATTTTATAATTTTATATGGTTAAATAATAAATGAAAGACATTGAAGATTTTTTTAACTAGCAGGAACAATGAGGTCGCAGTAGAAAAACAACCTCAGGTTTGCTCTTAAATGTACAGTCTCATTCACTGTTTCAAAAGTGAATTTTTATGTCTCTGCTAGCCTAGAGCATACTGCTCATCTGAAAAGACACATTTGATTATTCTTTTCATATGTGTTATAAAGCAATTTCTAGTGGGAATGCTGAGACCAATAGAGATGAGGTGAATTATTTTGCACAGTGGTTGCACCCATATCCTGATGTTTTCATTACCCAAGGGCCTTCTGTGTTTGATTCTTGTTACACTGCAAAGAGCAAAGTAAAGTGCAAGTGTTGCACTTTCAAGCTTGGATTGGGCTTTGGCATTGGTTTTGTTTTGGTTCTGCTGTAGATTCATTTTCAAACTTTAATGTGTAGCTTATCCTTTCCAGAGCTCTGTCTTCTTGTTTATAAAATGGAGATGATTATGCTTTCATACTATTCCAGTAGAAAGCATTTGGAGATTGTCTGGCAACTGACACTAGTTGTGATTTTTTAAATGTATTGGTTGATCATGCACTTAGTTTTTAAATTTCTGTACATTGCTCCACCTTTTGAGCATTGTTTAGCAAAGTGTATGAGGTTTGTTCATGTTGCAGGGTGTGCAGTTCATTATGTGTTGATGTTGCTTTCATAGAATAACAACTGTTTTGCTACAATGTGTAAATGAAACTATTTAAAACTCCATAAAACAGCTTGTCAAGAAAACAGAAATGTTTGCTGAGCAAAGTTATAGTAAGACTTTCTAGCAAGAGCAAGAAACTGAATTTAGCTCAGTTCCCATTGTCCTTGTGAAGCGATCCTTACAAAAGTTCTTGGCTTTTTTCAATGTAGAAACAGTAATTAAATAATTAATATTTGTTTACCTAATTCACTTTCCTAATGTGCAGCACTAAAATTTGTTGTGTTTCAACATTGCCTTTTAACCTGTCATGCTCCATTATGCCTGTGTTTGTTTTTTCTTTGCAGGGAATCTATTGCTTTCAGGAGCAGTGAGCTGCTTGACAAGCTCAAAGCTGCTGGGATTGGAGACCGACCTCTGGTGTGGGTATCCCATAGCATGGGTGGTAAGCATGTTGCCTGCTTGATACAAAGCATTTATTTGCATTAAAGATTTCAGAGCAAGCCATTGACCAAATTGAGGTAGAAATGCAATTATTCAAAATGGTTTATTAAAAAAATTGGCAAAGACCTAAAAATGAAAAACAGATGTCTACTTTCTTAATGCATTATAATTAATAGCATATACATTTTGAAAGGATTGTTTTTGCTGTTTGTTCTTACTGTGTTGATTTAAAAACTCAACGAGTTGAAATTCATGTAAATGGAAATCCAGAGGCAAAATTTTCTCCATGATCAGGCATATAGTAAATGTCATTAGCAACACATAAAACAAATCAAAATTGGATTTGCATAATTCATTGACATTTTATATTGATGCCTCCTCAAGCGTGGTTTGGGTTTTTTTCAAGTTAATCTTACATATTTGACAATCTAAGGACTAATCAACCAAGGCAAGAATATGGTTAGTTGTTTCATGGTTAATATAGCATGGTCATTATTTCCCAGTGATTTAAATCCCTACATTAATTCAGCTTCTGTTGCCAGGTCTTCTAGTCAAAAAGATGCTGGTGGATGCTTCCAAGAATCCAGAAATGGATAAAATTGTAAACAACACCAGAGGAATCGTATTTTATAGCGTACCTCACCATGGTTCCCAGCTGGCTGAATATTCTATAAATGCCAGATATCTCCTCTTCCCGTCTGTGGAGGTTAAAGAGCTCAGCAAGGGTAGGTTCACTTTGCTACCATCTAGCAACAGGAACTCTGCTAATCCCTTCTTGGTGCTTTGGGTTTTTTCATTGTGCTGTCAGAGAAAGCTGGGGGAAAACAACAGACCTCCTTTTTATGTTTTGATTTGTGTGTTGAATTATTGCAAGTAATTCCAAGTAGCTGTTTCATTTGGTTGCAGAGGTGAGGGGGAATGAGGGAGTCAGAAGAAATTGTTGCATATGCTAGTTGGGAAAAGGGATTATAAACAAAATGCTGCACCTTTTACTGTCATAGCAATAAAAACATCTCTAGCAATGTAGTCTTGCCAGAAGAGTGCTATAACCTTATAACGCTGCAAAAATTGTGTTGCTCTTCCTTAGATTCTCCCGCCCTTAAAGAGCTGAATGATGACTTCTTGTCTTTTGCCAAAGACAAGAAATTTTCAGTGCTGAGTTTTGCAGAAACCCTACCAACGCACATAGGCAGCATGATAAAACTGCATGTTGTACCTGTGGAGTCAGCAGGTAAGTGAGGAAATAGCCATTTAATTTATTTGATTTGATACATATTGATGTAAGCATCTATAACAAGAAAAGGTGATAAATATTATGGTAAAAACCCTAGAAAAATAAGTCCATTACAGTGTGGGGGTTTTTGTGAGCCTCCCTGCTGAGATCAGAAGCAGCTGCATTTAGATCTTAGAATAGCAGTTGTTTGTTTTGATTTTTTTGAAATCAGAATAAATTCAGAATAAATTCTGAAATCAGAATTTTTTAAAAAAGCAGAGTAGACCCTGGTCTGATGTTGGAGTCCTTTCCTTTGGAATTATGACTAGTTGTGTTTTATCTTTGTATAGGTGGGCTGCATAGTGTTTCAGGTGCTTCTGCAAATTCCAGCTATTTTCTCCTTTAAAAAACTAAGAAAATTAATCAACTGCTAATGGAAGGAAAAAGTCAAAAAGCTGGTTTTCAGTGTTAAGAATCCTTTACCTTCCACATCTCGTGAACTCCAGCTATAGAGTTTGCCTCCTGAAGAGTTTCCTCCATCTTTTTGTCTTTTTTAGGAGAAGGGGAAAACATACATGTTGTTTCCCTTCCTTTTATTTATGTATGCTCAACTTAGAAAACTGATTTAAGCCTTATATTTTCAGTCTTTCTTTTGCACTGCCCAAGGTATCTGTAAAGCCAGAAAACACTGCTTTGGTAGGTTTTAGATCAGACTTTCCACCAGCTAAATCCACTAGCTTGAGTGCAAGGTTAGGTACTCTGAAAAAGGTGGATTATACATCCCTGTTTATCTGAGTCACTATTTAGCAGTCTTTTGCAGCATATCCTCTTGAGCAGCAATGTTTTGCAAAAATGTTGCTGATGCAATTTTATTGGCAAGGACTGAAAAACTGGACCTTTTCTTTATTGTTTAACAAAATAAGGTTAAAAAGAGAGCTGAATAACAGAACCCAAGTGAGTAGTTCACACTTGCAATTTTGTAGCATGTCTCCTCTTCTGGGGGTGACGCTTAGAGCAGCACATGAGTGCTCTTGAAAACCTTTAGAGGGCACATGGCCGGTCTGTAGCAGGCCACTCTGTTCAAAAGACAGGCTGATGAGCAGGCACCTCCCTGTTTCTTGCATGTCTGCTTGGGCACGTGAAAGCAGAGCTTCATCCTGCTCTAGTGTAATTTTTCATGGCTTGAGGTACAGAAGTCAAGGCAAAATGGAGGGTTTCTCTTGCTGATGAATGAATAGACAATAAACTGGAATGTGGCAGTCACAGCGTCCTAACTGCAAAGTTAGTAGTGATGGCTGTCAAGAAAGAATAAATGCTGTAGTGTGCCCAAAATCAGTTGCTGAAAATGGAATATTTGTATTCTACAATTATGCAATATAAATATTTCATTTATCTGGAAATGTGCGTAGTGATTCGCAGCATGTTTCAGGTTCATTGTAGTCCAAATTGTAATGTCCATGTCAAAGTATTTGTGTGAGGGGTATGGGCAATTAGTGGTGATCAGATTCAAGTTACCATGCATTAAACTACATCCCTGATCATATCAGTGCTTAAACCTCAGTCAGGGCTGTGCTGTCAGTAAATGAAGTTTTGTTTCAGCAAAGCTGTCTGTATGGAGAAATGTACACTTGTGTATTTCAAACAAAGACAGCAGAACTCTGACCTGATGGTGTTGTGTGCCAGTGTGGGTTTTGTGGCAGCACAGAGCTCTATCAGGCCATAACTGTGTGTACTGATGCTTTTAGCACATGAAAAAATAATGATGAACAAAGAGTTTTACTGAAGATAGGAGAAGTTGTTCTTGAGAGAGAAATTGCTAATGCAAGATCTTCTTTTCAGTCTAGGTTGTCTTATGAACTCTGGTATGAACTTTTTTTTTTTTTTCCCCTTGTCCAGAAATAGGAATTGGAGACCTTATTCCAGTGGATGTTAATCATCTAAATATTTGCAAGCCAAAGAAGAAGGATGCTTTCCTGTATCAACGTACACTGAAGTTCATTCAGGATGTTTTAGCCCAAGAACTGTGAGATTGAGGTTTTGCCATCCATTCCTGCTTGTGTCCTGTGTTTGGTGTAACACAGAAACTTCTAACATTTGTTAGGGGATCTGTAGAATCACAAGGGTGCTGTGTCAATAGTATCTGCTGCTGAATAATTTCCTGTACATCTTGAACTTTAGACACCTGTCCAATTACTTTCTCAAAATACATTCAAAACAAATACAAACTTGGCAAAAAAAAAAAAAGTGTGTGCCCAGGGTATCTTCTTTTAGCAAAAGAAACCCCAAGCTTGCTTTGAAAGCAGGTAAATATACACCTGGGATAAAGTCTTATAGACAGGATTAGAAACAAATGAGGTGGTTATTTGTTGTGTCAAAGGGCAGAAGCAGCATGTGGCTGCTGCAAAGTTTTGGTTTAATGTCCATGCTAGGGTAGCCTGACTGGAGCCTGAAAAATTACTGTTCAAGAGAATGAAGGTAGCATTTTGGCCTAGTGACCCAGTTTTAGGAGGTTTTGTCATTTGCCTTTTAACACATCGCCCAGATTGGTCAGCAGACACAGCATCTGTTTTTCTGCATGAGAAAGAGACAGGTTGGTAGCTTGCCTTGCTTAGAAAATTGTGGTTGTTTTAGTCTGTTTCTATTAATGAAAACAAAAGAAAAGAAATATTCATCTTCTTGTACATTTCCCTCTTAAGTCTTAGCAACTTGTGAGATTGCTTTCCTTAGGACAGCGTGTATCTGGTCAGACAGGGCAGTTCTGTGCATGTTCACATTGAAGATGTGTTTGATGAGCTCAGCTCTTCTGCTTTGCTCTTGGGACACCCCAAGAAGTTGGTACATTCAAATTCCTGGCTCATGTTACTCATACAGAAAGTTTTCTGTAGCTGATTTAAAGAAGAGCATTGAAAATGCTCGGGTGAAGCACAACAGATGTAGGCCCTGAAAAGAAAGCTAATGCTTAGAGTTTGGAGCTGAGGTAGAAAAAAGTAAAGCAGGAAGAAAATCAGGTGATTGTAAGGCCTCACTGGAAACTACCACAAATGTTTTGGTTTTCTGGGGCCCAAATATATCTGCTGGTGTAAATACAGTGAAAACCAGCAGTGTCTTATTTGAGTTTATGTTTATGTTTAGGATACCCTAACAGTACTGAGAAATCAGTATTTTTAGATTAAAAAATGGCAGTGCACAGTCACTTTTTTGAAGTCTTAGATAATTTGCACTGTGAATAGAAGAAGCCTCATGTTATTGTGGTCTCTTTACTCCCTTTCTTTACACCTGCATCCCTCTCTGAAAACAAACATGGGCTGTGTAAAGCTGTAATGCCTTTGCTGACCATTTGTTAAATAAGTTCTGTATTGATGACAGGCTTGAGGTGTCTCCTCATGTCACTCCTGTGAGATGGATCCAGAATTGGTGTCCTTCAAATGGTGGCTGTGAAAGCTGCCAAGGAGGGGGGATGCTCCTTGCAGTTCTGCATGGGCTTGGTGCTGTGGGCACTGCAGTCCTGCCAGGTCCTGAGAGCAGCCCAGGAGGACACTGCAGCTCAAAATACACTTCTGGAAATTGAGGGAACTGCAAAGGAAAATTCATAAGAGCAGTACAGAGACTGTACAGCACTACACTGGCAAAAAGAGCATTTCGCCCCCCAGCTGAGATGTAGGTGAGAACACTGCATGGCAGTATTTCGTACAGAAAATGTAACAGAAGTGTCTTAATTTCTGAAGAGGTTTATATTTTTTACACTGTGGTTTAGATTTCAGAGTGTAAATATATTAGTACACTTTGTATTCACAGAACAGAGTATGTGGAATTCATGGTGAATAGACAAGACTTCTAATAACTGAATGCTTGTTTCATGTGACAAATCTATTGGTTTTAATAGACTCCTTTGGCTTACACAGATTCAGATCAGTGACATTAAACATTAATCTTAGTAAATGCATCTGTGTTTTGTAACTGGAATTCTTAAGGCAATATTTTCCTTTTTGTAACTGTATTTATATATGTGTAACTTCTAAAACTAATATTTGGTGGGGGGTCGTTGGGTTTGGGTTTTATTTTTTTGGAATATAGTAATAAAATGTGATTTAAAATATGCCTTGGATATGTCACAAAGTGTATTAAAGGTTCATGATCTGTCAGCTGAATACTCTGGACCATGTTCTTTTTTGTTAAAGATCTGCATATTTTTTAGTGATTGTCTTGTGCTGGGACAATGTAGCATTACCCTTCTCTTGGGTAAGAGGCACAGTGCTGGGGGGTGGCTGGTCAGGAATGTTTTGCCAAACTGAGCAGTTTGTCAGTTGTGCTTTTGGATTTTGCAGCAGGGTACAGACATGAGTTTGAGGGCCAGCAGCTCTGAGGCCTAGCACTCATGTCTGCTTCCCATCGGGAATTGGATGCTTTTATGCTTCCTGGTGTCACATTAATTGAGAGTAGTGTCTTTCTGTAAATTCTCAGGTCTCAAAGTACTCTTTTAATCCCATCCAGTGGCTCAGCTGCAGGTGTGGCAGGCAGGTTGTGTGTGAGTTGTCTCAGGAGATGATGTTTCATCTGCATTGTGGCATCCAAGAGGAAATAGTGAGGTGGGAATGGAGGGCTAGAAGGGGTTGGTCAGTCCTCTTGCCCTTGTCCAGCAGTCTGGTGTAACTGTGTTGGTGTTTCTAGCAGCAACAGCCACCAAGTATTCAATTGCTGTGGTTACAGTGCTGTGAACTGGCTTCTGCTGTGATTTGTGCTTCCTGGTGCCAGCCCGAGTAGCTGGCTGGAAATGAGAAATTTTCCATCTGGTGAAAATGCCAATTCTGGATGCCAAGGGAAAGGCAAAAACGTTGTTTTGTCAGAGTGAAAATCTTAACCAATGTTTTGGTTCTCTTTGTTTGTCTCAGTGGTAACCCCCCTAAAAAAGCTAATTCAGGCAGTTGCTTTACCAAGGAGAGCCACTTGCCCACCCCAAACATGAATGCAGCAGAGCCACCAGGGTGCCTGCTGCAACTTGAAGCTGCAGACCTTGGGCAAACTCATGTGGTGTCTTGCCAAAGCCTCTCATATTAAAGAAGCAGACACTTGTAGACTTGTGTCTGGTGAATCATTCATACCTGGCTTCACAGCTGCCATCAACAATTTTTGCCAAGTGCTGGGCTCATGACTGGCAGAATGTCACGAGATAACCACTCCCTACAGCCCATTATATGCCCCTGAAGAGTGACAGCTGTCCCTGAGGACACTGATTTCCATCGATTATGTCCCAATGAGGATGGGTAGCAGAGCTGAGAACAGAGCTGTGCTGTGGGTTCCCTGGTTGTGGACATCAGGTATTAAGGGTTCAGATTACTTGGCCTCTTTTTGCAGGTGGGGCCTGGCTTAATCCCAAACGAGAAGGAAAGAATCACTGCCTCCTGCAGGCTGAATTTTCCGTAGTGATTTCCCAAACATGGAGCAAGTCTGGCTCTGCTTTGCTTCCTCCAACCATTGAAACTAGAGCCAGATCACAAGCAGGTCACAAGCTCCTGCCTCTGAGAAAACACTTGGCTGGGATGTTGGGCACCAGTGTGGAAGGTAATTTATTGAGACAGGAGATTCCTCATTCTGTGCTGTAACCTTTTCAGCTGGACTGTCTGTCCCCTTCCCTTGATTTGCTGCAACTGAGCAATATCTCCTGTCACTGATAGCATAAACCAGCGAGCTGCCGGGATTCATCCTTCGGTGGGCAGCTTGCCACAGACACAGACATAAGATAGAATGCTAAAGGCCACATCCGTCTCTTATTCAAGGAGAGTAATAAAGCAGATTTTATTTGACTTGTATAAATCCAGTTTAATTGGCTTTCCTGCTAACACTTTCATTAACATGTAAATTAGCTGTCCTAGAGCTGTTAATTATCTTTGCAGAAAATGTTGGATGTGATCATATACCGTACTCTTTCTTTTTTACTGCTAATGTTTTATACTGAGATGTGCCCATAAATATTCACTGTATTTTTTAAGAGGAGGACTAAGAGGCAAAGGCTTTGTGTCATCTTGTAGGGAAACGAGTATCTTATATTATTCACCAGCCTGCCACCACGTTAAACTGACACTCACACGAGAAGCTTAGCACTGGGCTTTATGGGCTTGGCCTTTGAAGGTTCTGGGGATTTTTTTGAAGTGTCTGGCAAACAAGAGAGTAGAGGAGGATGACAGGTGCTCGAAGGCAGCATCCTCTCTTAGAGGATCTCTTGTGTTCAAAATTTGGCAGTGGCAGAGAAACAGGTAGGCATTGTAAGGAAGAAAATGGCTGCAATCCCAGTGTTTGGGAAGCTCAGAACAAGCTAATTAATTTTCCTGTGGAAAAGGGAAAAAAACCTTCTTAACTTTTTAAATACATCTTAAACATTTTTTTGAAAATTAGTTGTTTTTTCAGCTTCACCACCTGCTTAAAAATGTTCTCTTTCCTTTACTAATGAAAGATCTTGATGCTTCTCTTAACAAGTTACCATGACAAGCTGCAATCTGGTTATTAACTGCCTGCTTTGCACAAATGGCATCTATCGTGCACAGTTCCACCCCACAGGCAAGGCAAAAAGGACCAGCTCGCTCCTCGTCTGCGCTGTGGAAATAGAAGACTGACATGGCATTTGCTTATGAAGACAGAGTGGGAACAGGGACAGAACTATGAATTGCTGAACTGCCTTTAGCGTAAGACATGCCTGAGCCGATACCTGTGGCATCAGCTGGTCTCAGCCATTCCCCGTGTTTCCTCAGGATCTGCTCGGACAATGCACAAGCAGCCTAGAGCGTTTCTTTGCAGTGAAACAGCATGTGGGAAACTACAGTCCCTTTTCAAAGTATGCTGTTGGACATGGGCTTGGGAACAAAAACCAGGGTGAGTTTTGGAAACTTGCAGCAGAGCAGTACCAGTGTTACTGCTGTTATACTGGTGTACATTCCTCTTGGGATGTTTGTTCCAGAATAACTGGCAGACTAACTCTTCAAAGTAAGGATGCTTTATTTCAAACAACCGAAATTGATTAAAATACACATTCCAAAGGAAATTTTTTTTAATGTCTTTTTTTCCATACATGTTCTTACATATGATTTGTACCTGAAATGAAATAAAACATCTTAAAATGGATTAATAAAAAGAAATAACTTAGAATAAGGAAGTTTTCAAATGAGCTGTAGGTAATGTTAGGTTGTATGTATTTTATATACTTCCCTCCAGGGGCCGTATCATTAAACATGAAAATGAAATGTAGCATGGACAGATGATCCAGTTCATTAAATATAAAAAAGATTTTTTTTTTAAATTTTGCATCATAATTATGATTTCTTTTGGAAGACTAAGGAGGTAAAATTTTACAATTCTAAATCACTATTTGTTTTCATAAAGGTATTTTTGTTTTGTTCTGAGACAAGCAGTTTGTTGAACCCTTCTGCCACTGCACTGCTGTCTTCATCATCACTAAATGTAACCCAGTGACTGAAATCTTTCAGATTGGGGTGATTTAAATTTTCTGAAGTGTGTGCTGGAGAAGTAGCTGGCGGTGCCTGTGTGGAAAGAGGGAAGGAAGAATGAATGTCCAGGTCCAGCAGATTGGTGTTCTCTGGAAGGGAGCTGGTGTGCAGTCGTTGTGGATGCTGGCCTGCTGGTGCAGAAGGGCCCTGGAGCTTCACCATCAGTTCTGCAGCACTTGGTGCCAAGGGCTGAGTTGTGCTGTTTTCTGGGCTGGCAGAGGCTGAGGGAACAGGGACATGAGTCTGAGGGCAGGACCCAGGGTTGTTGTTGTTGGAGTTGAACAGTGACGCACGGAAAAGGGGGTTGTCACTGCTCTGGAGAACTTGGAGATGAAAAGCTGCAGGAGCCGACTTTTTTCTTCGTGGAGGCACCTTTGGAGCAAAGGGAGCGTTCTGGGGAGGCAGTACCATGGCCTCAGCTGTGCCTGCTGACAGAGGCTGCCTTTCACTGCTTCCCCTGCTCTCTTGAGGCTTCCCAGCTTGTGTTCTGGGTTTAGGGACTGGAGTGATCTTGGTTGGTCTAAGAATAGCTCCAGCTTCTAGATGGGGCTCTAGCAAGCCAAAAGGAGACTGTGCTGTCTGTTGGTCGAATTGGTCTTCTGGAGACATGGCCTGAGGAGGAAATAGAGGAAGAAATGTGAGAACAAAAAGGAACCTTAAACTTTGAGTCACTACTGGTGCAAGTTTAATTGACAGCGTTGCTAAGAAAGGCTGACAGTCCTGGAAGACAAAAAAGCACTGTGAAGAGGAGGCTTGACAGCACAGTTCTGCACTGTACCTGCTGGGCTCTGGGCCCATGCATTGCGCCTGGCACTCACCTTCAGAGAGCTAGTGAAGGACCAGGACCCTACAGGCTGCTTAGTCACAGCTCTTTCTGACCATCTCCCTTTCAGGTTAGGATTTTTGCTCTGGGCCAAATCAACAAAGTTCTGAGGAGTTATTTGTTACATCTCTCTGCTGACTAATAGTACTTAAGCAAGATTGCATAGGGAGGCCCATGCCTTTAGGTGTAGCTTATTTGGATAGATAAGATTGAAGGAGAATTAGCTTAAGCTAACCCAATAAATGCATTAAGGGCTGTGTCCTGTCTCACTGATGCTGGCAACTGAAGATAAAAATAAGCTCTCAAAGTCCAGTCTAGCATACATTTACCACCATTTAAAAGTATATAAATAACAAGCCCAGCTCAGTCTAGGAGGGCAAGGACTGCTTCAGATTTCTCACACTCTGTGTGACTGAATGAAAGCGTTTCAATTCTTTATTGCTCTTGCACAGTATTAAAAGATAATGTACAGGATTTTTCATGCAGGCAAAATATTTAGTCAGTATCTCATGCTGGACATATCCCTTGGCACTTCTTCCTATGTGCTGTTAAGTTGCCTACATTTGACTGTGGTAGAGGGGGATTGAGTAGAGCTTTTCAAGTACACACCTCCCATCTGACTTCCCTCAGATGGAGGAAGGAGTGGAATTCCAGGGCAGAGTCAACCTGAAATAATCTATTCCTGCAGAAGCTCTCACATAACTAATACCAAAATAGCAATCCCTCTCAGCACCTTTCAAGAGTGACTTGGAAATGGTGACAACTTCAACAAAACAAACTGACCATCCTCAGCATAGACTGTGCTGTCTGGGTTGGGTTTTTT